GGCTCCTGGAGAAAAGCTTCTGAGATGCTATCAGCCAGTGCAAAGGCCCTGGGCCAGCAGTTGGTCAGCACAGGCCAGGCTAGAGCCAGCGGGTAATCAGCAGGGGCTCAGCTCATCAGGGCCATAGGGCAGGGAAGAGTTTAAATTTTATTCCAGTGGGGGGAGGGTATAGCTCAAGTGGTAGAGCACTTCCTTAGTATGCACTAGGTCCCGGGTTCAATCCCCAGTACCGCCATTTAAATCAAGTAATCAATAAACCCAATTACCCCTCCCCTCAACAACAACAAAAAATTTATTCCATATGGGATGGAAACAACTGTAGGGTTTTTATAGGCAAGTGACATGATCTGCTATTTTAAAGTTCCCTCTGGCTGCTAAGAAGAGTGTGGCCTAGGGGTAAGGCAAGGGGGGAGGCAGGGAGTGACCACCATGTGGTGCAGGAGGTGAGAGTGAGAGACTAAAGCCTATGGAGAAAGATCTCTCCCACATCCTCTGCTGAGGGGCAGGGAAGGGCATATGTAACTGGACTGAGCTTGTTTCCTCCAGTAGGTTTGGGCTGACTAGTCCCCTTTTAGCCTTCTCCGCAGGCTTGGCCTCTTCTCCAAATGCACATTGTTCAGATACTTAAAGAAAATAGGTCTAAAAGGTTCCCCAGGAGCCTGTAGCTGCTTCCCCATCTCTGTGCACCTTTCCACTCCCCTGCTGGAGTTGCTTTCCCATTTCTCCATCGCAGGGAAGTCTTCGTTGCCCTGTCCGCAGGTCTTGGGCAGCGCCAAGCCTCCCACGAACTCCAGGACTGTATTTCACAAGGGAAAAGGCCAGAGGCTTAGGTGTGGGGCCGAGAGCTACAAAGGGTGCAGCCTCGCAGACGCTTTCGGCCTCTCGCCCCCCCTCCCCCCGTCCTAAGACTCCTGCCCTACGACGCGGCAACACAGCCTGCCCTCGGGCCCAGTCTACCGCAGCCCCCTCGCACCCTCTCAGTCCTTGACCTCCCTACCCATGTTCTGGCACCCACGCCTCCCCACCGCCCCTCTGAACCCACCCCCTCTGGCCTCCCAAGTCGAGCAGAAGCCGGAAGTGGCCTCTGAATGCACCGCCCCGCCTCTTCCGGTGCTTCTCTACGCGGGAGTGCGGGTTTCCGCGGCTCCAGAGGCTCGGCATCACAGGGCAGCGGCGCCCTCTAGTGGGACTTTGGCGCAGCGCGGGAGCCGAGGCGAGTCCCCCTCCTCGATCTCCCCGCAGCCATCTCCTCTTGTCCCGACTAATGCTTGCCCTTACCCCGACCAGGCCTGCCCTCCCGCCTCCCTGGCGACCTCACCCCTTTCTGCCCAGAGCCTTCCTGCCTGCCTTCCTTTCATGCCCCAGCCAGGAAGCCTTCCTGGATTGCCTTCCAGCCTCGAGGCCCCAAACCCCGTACAGCCATAGCTGACCATTCCCACCACACGGCCTTCAACGTGTCGGGTGATTCACTGCGCAGGCCAGATTCCAGCTGTTGACCACCAGAGGGCAGCAGAGACCGCACAGCACAGACTCCAGCCACTGACCACCAGAGGGCAGCAGGGACAGCCTTATACAGATCTCTGGGGCTAGCGCGGGGGCAGGGGGCGGGAGCAGGGGGCGGGGATGGAGAGAGGGATTAAGTTGCTATCTAATCCTGTCGAGGTCCCGCTGTGCGTGGCAGGGCAGGTTTGCAGGCTTGCAGGGGTTTTTTTCCCCTTTTGTTGTGGGGAGGTAATTAGGTTTGTTTGTTTGTTTGTTTATTTATTTATGTATGTATTTATTTATTTTAGAGGGGTACTGGGGATTGAATTCAGGACCTTGTGCATGGCTTATGCTCTGCCACTTGAGCTCTACCCTCCCCACTAGGCTTGTGTGGTTTTGAAAGCAGATTTGTTCTTCCTGATTTTTTTCCAGGGCTACTTTTTCTTTCTAGGTAACTTGCAGCCTATTACTGTTCCAAGTTGTTTGAAAGTCAGTTGCTGGGTGATTTTGAACTGTGGTCAAGGCAGAGACCTGGATGAGTCTTCTGGGACCCTCTATATGCTCCTTGATGTCCCTGGGTGCATCATGGACCCACAATGTTCCTAGCAACCAATGCCTAGCTTGGCCACCCCTGCTGCTATCTGACCTCCATCTATTGTCTTCCAGCTCAGTATTGCCAGATCTCTGGACCAGAAGTCCTTCACCTACCTCCAACCCACCGTCCCATCAGCTTCTTCCAATCTCTTACCCTCCAAAGCGTCGTCTTCCCATTCTTCCTTTAAAAGCCTCTGTAAGCCTTGCTTCTCTCACTTCACACAAATTGTCTACTCTTGTTCTTTCCAGTTCCTACCTGTCTCCTCTATCCACTCCAGGCAGACTTGCCCCTCCCTCCACACACACACACAAAAAATCCCTGGTCAGAGTCTTCAGTGTCCCAGACATTGCTGGACCCAGTGGTCTGTTCTCCACCCTCACCTTCTTGAGCAGCAGATGCCTGCCTGGCTCCCAGGAACCCGAATTCTCCTGGGTAGCCTCCCACCTCCTGGCTGCTCCAGCTTAGCTTCTTTACTAGTCCTACCTCATTCCTCCTACCTCCTAACAGAGGACTGTTCCAGGGCTCAGTCCCGAGTGCTGCCCTCCTTCCAAACCCACCTTCCCCCATCACATCCAGGCCCCGGCTCTGAGTACCAATCCACTCTCTTTGCTTCCCAAATCCAAAGCTCTGGCATAGGCCACTCTACTGAACTTGAGTCACACACCTAGCAGCAAACTTGGCATTTCCGCTTTGATGTCCCATCGTTGTTTTAAATGTTTCATAGGTAAAAGTGATCTCCCTCCCAAGCCTGCTCCTCCCCCAGCCTCCCTCTGTGGATACAGCAACTTAGAGTCACTTTGGATTTGCCTCTGCCCTTCTCCTCATACATACCCAGCCATCAGGATAACACGTTTACCTTCAGGACAGGCCCAGAGTCTCACCCACTCTGTGCCACCACCTGGGCTGAACCACCTGATGTGTCTGGAACAACTGTAACAGTCCTGTATTGGTGTCACCCTTGGCACCCCATCCCCTACCCTACAGTCTAGTCTCAATGTAGCAGCCAGAATAATCCATTTAAAACTTAGCATTGCTACTGAGTCAGATCCTGCCCCTTCCTCTGTTCAGGGCCTGGCATTGGTTCTCATCTCTTCCAGAGAAAAATCCAAAAGTCCTATGGTGGCTGACAAGGCCCCATGACATCCCCTTGTTGGCCCCCACTCTTCCCATCTACCCTCTCCAGCCTCACTCAGCATCAGCCGCAGTGGCTTCTTGGCTCCTCCTCTCCCATCTTGGGCACATTCTGCCTTACGGCTTTGCATTGGCTGATGCCTCTGGCTGGAATAGTCCCTGCAGACATCCGTCCAGCTTCCTCCCTCTCCAAATCTCTGATCAATCATCCCTTTCTCAGTGAGGCCCATCCTGACCCACCTCCTAACCCTCCTAGTCTTCACCGCCCTTACCTGGCCATTTTCACTCCCTGTACTACTGACCATCTTCTAACAAATGACGTTACTGCTGATTATGTTCCACGTTTCTGGTCTGAATCCAACCCCCCCACCAAGAATATAAGTTCTAGGAAGGCAGGGATCTTCTCTCTGGTCATCACTGTGTGTGCAGGTGCTGAAGAAGTGCCTGGCTCATAGGAAGACTTCATAAATACTTGGTGAATGAATAAATGAGTTCCTTTTCAGGAGCGAGGTGAATGTGTGCATGTGCGCACAGTGAGAAGGGTGCAAGGAGGGGCAGCTGCTGGTCAGGAAGACCAAGGCCCACGCTTGGGCCCCTTTACCTGAACTGTATTGTCTTACTTTTCTGTTACAAGCAGTCTTGAGAAAATGGTGAAAAGAAATGTAAGTGACATAAGTGCTCTAATTTTTACTATTTCAAGCAGATTAAAATTTTTTTTCTTCAGAGCAAATTTTAAAAAGCAAAAAAGAAGAAAAAAGACTTGGAAATTCTTCAAAACATAAAAATTCCTTAGCAATGACCAAGGACTTGCAGACCCATCCTCATGGAGGCTGAAATGGCTGGAACTTGACAGCCAGGGACATGGGAGGTTCATTTTCAAACAGTCTTGTGGGCACCTGCCTTTTGGCCACATTGCCTGCCCTCCTCCCGCACCCCCAGAGCCTGCTGTCCACCCGTCAGTCTGGTGGAGACCTTGCTGGGCAGGCAGAGATGGCCTCTGGGGTCAGGGTCCTTCCTCCACCCCAGCTGTGTGTATGTGGGAGAGTCGGGGGAGGGGAGAGCGACTCTCAGCACATCCCCCTGGTCTGAGAGGCCTGAAGCCAGGCCTGGGGTCTTGAAAGACTCCAGGCAGTCCTGCTGCTGCTCTGACCTGCAGCAGTCTTTGGATGGAGGGAGTATGAGAAAAGACCCCCAGGGACTGTTGGCAGGGTGGACCCTGCCCTTGATTACCTCCTACTCCCTGGGAGCCAAGCGGCTCAGGCAGAGCTGTGGCCTTGTCTGGTGAGGAAGGAGCCAGAGACCCCCAAACGGCAGCCCCTCATGCCAGGGGCACTCTGGGCTGCGGCCACCTCTAGGCCGGTGTCCAGCTCTTTTCTGGGGCTACGGGGCTTCTGTGTGAGTCCCCAGGCTGGAGTCAGGCGCCTGGGGCTGATGAGAACCAGACTCAGGAAGCCCCCCTCTGATCAGCTGGCACTCCCATGGGCCTCGCAGCCTCCAGTTTGAGGAGTTCTTTCTTCAGGGGTTTCTCAAGCTGGCAGCTGCCCTGCCAGTTCAAACTGGATTTTTCCTGCTGTCCTTTCCCCGGCGGCCTAGCCGGGTGCGGGGTCTCTCCTAATGAGGGTTTGATGCCAAGGCCTGGGCAGCTCTGTCCTGCTGGGTCCTGGCTGATTCAGGCTTGCCCCAGGCAGCGGGCAGCTTCCCAGTCCCACCCGGGCCAGGCACCTGGGCTGCCCTGCGTCCTTGCAGCTCTTGCCCTGCATTGGACTTCCCGACTCAAAACTCAGGCCCCACATACAGGCACTCAGTAACCCACCTTTATTCGCAGCAGTTTTACTATTAATAACAAGTTAGCCTGACAGGGCATAAGATCCCTGGACTTTTGTCCCCAGACTCGAAGCACTGACAGAGAGTTGACGTGGCAGCCAGGGAGGGCAGGGGGCCCTTCCACAGGGCTCAGCTGCCTCCTGCTCAGACCCTTCCTGAAGCTGCTGGGGATGCACCTCACGTTGCCTCCTTCCGGAGGCCTCTCTCTGTCCCATTTCCTGGGGCCTCATTAATTCCTCCCCACCTCACCCCGTGAGAAAGCAGGTCTGTGCTGAGCCTGGCCCGGGTCCAGAGCTGGGTCTGAGCACGCCCTGGTTGGTTTGGGAGGCAGGGGGCAGGGTGCAGCAGGGGACTCACCCTGTCCCCACCCTCAAGCCAGGAAAAGAGGCAGGACGGCCTTCCATCCCCATCCACGTCCTGACCCCCCACCCCACTTCCCAGGAACTCAGGGACCATGGAGCTCAAGAATGTAGAACACAGTTGGTCTCATGTATAATATTTATAAAAGGGGGCTGCCAGCATCTCCACCCCTGCCCTAGACTGGCACCTGGGGTCTTTAGCTCCCAGGGACAGAGATGCTCTGGGCCCCAGCCTCTTTCTTCTCCCAGCAGTGGAATGTGAGCTACGGCCCGGGCTTGGGGTGGGGGGAGTCCCAGCCTCCCCAGGACTGGGGAAGGGCCAGGGCAGGGGTCCCTTGGGGGCGCCCAAACCAGGCAAACCCTCAAAAGAACCTGCTGGCCCCAGGTCTAAGGTGATGAGGTCTGCTCCTGGTGGAGGAATGGGAGAAGGGGACTAGAGTATCCAAGGGCCTGAACCCAAATGCCTGAAAGGGGCCTCGGGGACAGAAGGAGGAAAGGCAAGAGGGCCGAGGGAGATGAGGCCCCAGCAACAAAGTAGGGGGGTGACCACAGACCTGGTTCAGCTCTATGTGCCCCTACAGGTGGTGTGACCTCAGTGTCTACACCTGTGCAAAGAGGCTAAGGGGCTTGGGTGGGATCTGAGGCAACAGGAAGGGAGCAGCGGTACAGCCCTGCCCTGCTCCCAGCTCAGGAAGCCCCTGTATCCCAGGAGTTCAGCAGGGCAGTGGCCCAAGGGCCTTGGTCCTGGCTCTAACAAAAACCTCGACAGAAAGGACGTGGGACAGGGCCAAATGCCATAGCATTCACCACATCTTTCTCCTCCACCTGACTGGCCACTGGATGGGAGCAGGCGCTGAAGAGTCTGGGCAAGGGGACTAGGGTGAGTAGACCGAATAGGATGGGGGGGTCATCCTAGTGGCTTCCTCCGTGCTGGCTGGTCCCCGAGACCCAGTCAATAATGATGAAGCTCAAACTCATGGTCATCAGCAAGAGGCCAAGTGCAGCAAAACAAAGGGCCTGTGGGGTCAGAAGTAAGGGTCAGGCCTGAGGTCAGGGTAATCCCCTTAGCCCCACACCAGCCCACCAACCTCCAGGCCCCTCGCACCAGGATTTTGGGCGTAGACCTTGTAGGTTCCTTCTCAGTGGGCATGATGCGAAAGTAGAAGATGGCAGGGAAGATGAAGATGAGGCATGGGGCAGATGTGGCACCTGTAAAGAAGAAGGAAAGGCCACTGCTGGCTCACATCCACCTATTGGCTAAGGTTCAGGGGTGGACCCTTCAAACATTCCTGGTTGAAGGAGGCTCATCTTGAGACTCTGCTTAAGAGCTCTGCCTGAGTCAGGAGAGCCCACCAGCCCCTCCCCTTGTTCTCTGTCTCCTAGGATGGAAGGCTAATGCTGTTGATGTCAGAAGAATCTGTCAGTGAATGAAGCTAGCAAAGAAGAAAAGGCAGGCTGAGAGATAGAGATGAAGCCTTGAGAATACTGGGCTCTTAGATACAGCTATTTCTGAAGGCTTCTCCATTAATTGAGCCAATATATTCCTTTCTGCTTAACTCATTTTGAGTCGGCTTTCAGGTATAGATCCAAGGGTACTGTCTATGATTTCCACGCTACTCAGTTTCCAGGTCTGTGTGTTGGTCCCTGCAGACTGTAGGTCCCTGTCCCTGTTGGGTTGGGGAGTCAGTCTCCTGACTTGGGTCACCGCCAGGTTGTCTCAGAATTGTCTGATCTTCCAGCTCAGAGGCCCAACTGAGATGGACAGTGGACAGAACCCCAAACCTATAGTCCCATGATCCTGGGGCTGAATCAACACTCACCACTTACCAGCTGTGTGGCTCTCCCTTAATCACTCTGAACCTCCTCATATGTGAAATGGGGACAAGACCCAATTAGATCCTTAGTGGGCCCCTGACCCCTGGGCTCACCCTGTCCCCCAGCAAAAATAACTGACTCAGTGCTTCTGAGCCTTCAAAATAGATTAGAATAGCCTTAAGGACAAAATGTCAGATTCAAGGCCAAGCTGTGCACACGGCCAGCAGCCATCACTTAAATGTAGGATACAGGCTCAGGAATCTGCCAGGGTTGACAGAAGGGAACTTTTCTGGGGCAATACCCTGCCTTCATACACAGCAGGGCCAGACCCTCACCAATGACCCCAAAGATGCCCAGGATGTTAGGGGCAAAGATGACCAGCAGGTTGATACACGTGAGCAGGCTAAGGGCAATGAGCACATGCCGCAGCCAGCTGAACTCCTGGTCCTGAAACATCATCTGCTGGATGGCGCGGCGCACCTGCAGGAGGAAGGGTAGGTGAGGAGAGTCATCAGTCTGTCAGCCCCATCAGTCCCACTCCTCCCCTTTGGTCTGGCCACCTGCCCATGGGCTCACCGGAAACAGAACGATTGGCACTGTGAGTGTGACCGCTGTCAGCACGGCCACGCGCACACACAGGATCAGCACATCAAAAGAGTCCACTTTGCTGTAGGTGTGCAGCAGCTCCGACTCCACCCCGTCTGTTGCAGGCAGGGAGGGTGGTCAGCAGGAAGCCCGGGGAGGGGGTTGGGCTCTGAGCCTGGGTTGACCCTGACACTGTGGGGAAGTGGCAAAAGACTCACCTCCACAGCTACAGGACACAGTTAGGCATCACACATCTAGTGAACGCCTATAGTGTGCAGGGTGCCATGGCCACTGGCCAGTCCCTTGCCCCCCAGCCTGGCCTCTGCCTCTGCCCCCACGGTCCAGCCATACCGTAGAAGGTGAGGTAGCCGAAGAGGGCGGCCAGGAAGTACATGACATACATGACGGCGATGGACAGGTTGGAGATGTGCTGCATCTTCCTCTTGGAGGGGCTATGGGGCAGCAGGGGAGGGGATTGGTGCCAAGCTGGGCCAACTGGGAAACCCTCATGTGCCCCGGGGTCTCTCTCTGGCACCACACCCTCATCATCTGGCAGCTGAAGCACCTCCTTCTTGCCCCTAATCTCCCCTCATGGCAGCCATGGAGATCTCTGATGAAATGACTTGGCTCCTGTCACTCCTCCCCCCTTTAGGATCACATCCATTCTCCCCAGACCAACTCAAGGTAGCCCTCACCCCCTCTCCCAGCCATAGATGCTTACTCCTTGAGCTCTGTGTAGATGGGCAGCACCTCAGGGTGGCAGACGAAGGCGAAGGCCATGATGGGGATGGTGTACGCCGTCTGGGGAAACATGGTTCTGTGTCAGGACAGCACCCTCTACGTGCTCATCAGGAACCCTGCCCCGACCCTAGCCTGTTGGAACCTGTGTGTTGAGCGTGAAGTAGCTCGGGGTGCAGAAGGCCGTGGTGTCTGTCTCCATCTGCAGCTGTCCCTCTTCCTTGATGACCTCCGAGAGGCTGAAGTTGCCCGTGATGTTGGCAAAATGGAGGGGCAGTGGGCAGGGCACGTGGAACTTTTTGTAGATGACCTAGGTGGGGGCAGGGAAGGATGAGGCTATCAGGGCCAGGCTAGGCTGCCTGGGAAGTCACTGAAGCCGCATCTAGATCAGGACTGGAGGAGGTGACTTCTGACCCACGCTTCCCTGAGAGACCTGCCCCTCCCTCGACCAGCATGGAGGGCAACTCACTGCAATTAGGAAGAACACCATACAGCTGAGAGAGAAGCCGCTGGAATAACCCAGGTAGCCTGCAAAGTGGGGGAGGGGAGTTATGAGACTGAAGGTCCCTGCCCAGGCGTCCCTCTGAGGCCCTGGTCCCACCACACTCACCAAGCTGCCGCATCAGTGCCAGGGGCAGAATGACAATGACAGAGACCAGGATCACCAGGTAGTTCCCATTCGTGTACCAGTCCCTGCATGGATGAGAGTGGGGAGCCCAGGTGAGAGCCCATTCAGCTGCAGATGGGGCTACCTGCCTCCACTCCCAGTCAGGGTCACCGGTGGTGCCACTGAGTGATGCCACTGAGTGGCCTCTGAAGAATCCTTGCCCACAGGTCCGAGTCTCCCTTTCCCCATCTCTCAGCACTCTCCTGGGAGAGGTGAGGACTAGTGAGCTCAGCTCCTGCTTGGTAACCATCACAATCACAGTCGCTGTTGTTTTTCCCAGGACGCACAGGTCTGGGTCCAGCCTCCCCAGGGAGTGGCCCCAAGGGGCCCAGATTCGGAGTGGCAGGGAAGAACCTGGCTCTGGGGGATGGGGCCTTTTTCAGGGGGTCTTAGGGACTTGCCAACCACCTGAGCTCCTTGTGCTCCCTCCTGGCGTCCGTATCCGGCATCATCCTGCCCCACGCCCCCAGTGGACAGTGGACGCAGGGAACTAAACGGATGAGGAATGAGAGCCTCCTTCAAGGGCAAACTCAAAGGCCAACTTTTTGGGAAAGGCCCCCAAGGCTGGGGGGCCTACTCTCAGCTGCACAGCCCCTCTGCTTGTCTGGGCTGTGCTGCCAAGGGCGGGTCCTGGCTGTTGTCTCTGCTCCTACCCACAAAGCATGGTTGATGCCATCAGTGCTGGCTAAACTGATGACAGGCAACTGGGACACTGTGGGCTTAATTTCTTGGTTGGGGCGGGGGGGCTAACACCCAAGCCATGGTCAGGAATAGCAGGAGCTTAGAGCTAAGCCCAAGGCTCTCAGGTCCTCTGCGCTCATAGGCTGGGTCCAGGGTTAGGCGGGGCCCAGTTTCCTCAGCCTCATGCCCAGCCCCACATGGCCCTCCTGGAGGTTTCCCTAGGTGCCTCATAAAGGAGCGTGCGCTGAATGTCAGCTCTGCCGGCAGCTCTCACACCCCACCTCCACCCTGTCTTCTCTCTCCCACTAGCCTAGCCTGGGCTCTGCAAGTGGGGGGCATGGAGGGATAGATTACGGCCTCCCACCCTCACCCAGCGCAACCCCACCCTGGGGCTCACGAGGTTTGCTCCTCCAGGTTCAGGAAGGTCTGTATGACAAGGGGCAGCTCGGACTTGATGATGTACAGGTAGCTGGACATGGCTGGGGGGAGAAGGGCGAGTCAGCCAAGCCAGCCAGCCTTCAGCCTGTCCACTGCCCACCGCCTGCCCATCAGCCTCACCTCCAATGTTCTGCAGTGTGATGGCCAGGGCTGCCGCCAGCTTTCCCGGGGTCCCAAAGGCACGGTAGCCCAGCTGCTCATAGGCACGGATGCCTGTGGGGACAGAGAATCAGGACAGTCAGGAGTGCTCTCCCCAGCCCACACCTCCCCTGCTACAGGCTGGGTTTGGGGCTCACCCACGATCCCTGAGGACTTGAGCAGCAGGTGGATGGAGTAGCTGGACAGCAGGGCAACAGCCGTCAATAGGAACCTGGGGAAGATGGACAAAAAGAGGCCACTGGGGCCCCGCTGGAAGCAGGAGATAGTGAACTCTGGGAGGCCTGAGTGTGCGGGGCCTGTGTCCGAGGTGTCTGGACCCCCCACGTGTGTGGATGCCAGCTCAGCAGGCCCCAGGAGTGGCAAACACTACTTGGATTGACCCAGGGTGGTCACGACCCAGAAGGAGCCCTCTGAGCACCACCCCTTGAGTTCTTGAAACAAACATGTTTTCCATTTAGGCTGCAGGGCAGAGCTCCCAGGTAAGGACACGTGTACCCACACAAGGCCTGGCCGTGGGGGTTTGGCCATCACGTGTGAGTGTGGTAGGACAGACTCCTGCCTGTTAGGCTGGCCCCGTGTCGTCATCTCAGTGGGTTTACTGGGAAATGAGGTATATTTGTCTGGCCCTGGATGGTTTCTTCGGCTGTGGTTTGGGTTGAGTGCAAGTGCCCACCCAGTGCAGCCTGGGTCTTGGGACAGGAAACTGGCAGGTCCTGGGAGGTCAGGGCTGGAGGCTGGTTTAGGGCTCCCATCTTTAGCAGGTTTGCTGACAGCACTCACAGGAAAAGGATGATGCCCGTGTTGGCCATGGCGTAGGCGAGCCCCAGGATGCCACTGCCCATGATGGCGTTGCTGAGGTTGAACACTGACATCCCAAATGAAGTCTTCCCCTCAAACTGCAGGCACCAGAGTGAGATGGGAGAGGGGAGGCAGGTCAGCAAATCAGATGGAGGGCAAATCAGCTTTCCCCCTCACTGTCCTTGACCCCCACTGCTCCCAGATGTGCCCCTGAGCCCCCCACTGCTGCCCCGCTCACGTCGGTGAATTGTGGCTCCTTGCTGGGGCTTTTCTGTAGGAAGCCCTCGCCCTCAACACAGCTCCGTCCGGGGCCCTCGACCCTGTAGGCACAGGCCAGGGCAGGCAGCTCAGCTCCAGCCCCCGGCCCTGCACTCTGCCCTGCCCTGCCCTAAGCCATGACTGCGTCCTTTGCTCACCTCTGGTTGCTGGCCGTCGGGGTGGCAACTGGGAGTAGCCCCTCCAAGTGTTTGCCGTTGGGCACCAGCTCCACCATCTCCATCTGCAGAGGTGCCTCCATGGCTCGGGGACCACCACCGGAACACTAGCTCTTACACTGACACAGTCAGAAGTCACAGAGCAGACAGTCCCTCTGGTTACCCTCATGCCTTGGGCCCATGGCCCAGACTCCCACAGGAAGTGTGCAGCTGTAACACACCTCCCAGAAGTCCACTCGGGACATACATGCGCATGCACCTCTGCCTGCTGCCCCCTGGAACCTGCCACTGGCGGATAGAGCTTGAATACATGAGTTCTCCAGGACATCCTGAGGGGACACCTCAGCCAGTAGCTTGTGCTGCCCCCACCACACTCACATACCAGCCCAGGCGAGGGACTTCAGTTTACCCATCTGTGAAGTAAGGGTCTGTTGGATGATCTGAGTTCAGAGCCCAGTGGCACCAGGATCCCAGGATGCTGAGTGTCAGGCCTCCAGACCCCACTCGGGATGGGCCCGGGACTGACTCCCTCTCCCTGACATGAGTGCTGGGAGACAGTTTCCTGTGCCGGCCCCGTGTGCCAGGGGCCTCCGAGCCAACCTAGAATGGCACTACCCGACGGCTGGAGGCCTCGGGAGAGGGTGAGGGCTGTGGGCCCTGTTCCCAGCCGCCCGGCGGGCTTTGCTGGCAGCCAGAACAAAGGGCCCTCTGTGGGCTGAGAGCTGGCGCTGGGAACGGCAGGCGCAGAGGCTACCCCCACCCCCGGAGCCAGGAGGCCTGAGGCGGTGCTGGGTGGCTGGACACCTGGGCCCTGCCCGCCTGGCTGAGAAGGGCCCTCAGGGGGCCTTCCAGGAAATGGGTGTCCTGAGGCCCGCTCCCTGGGCCACATAGGCCTCACCCTCCACACAGCTCTGGCCTCGGGGCCATGTTCTCTTTCAGCCTCTCCTCCCCTGCTGGGGAACCTCCACCCTTAGATGCCCACCCTTTGAGCAGATTCCCCACTTCCAGGGGACCCAGGTCAGGAACTCAGGGCCTTCCTTGGTCAGCTTTAGCCCTCCAGTCCTGTCCACTCAGGACCATAACAATTTGAGCATCTCTTCTCATGCCCTCTTTTCCTTGACCAGAATCCCTAAGGTCAGCCTGTTTTTTTCATGTCCCTGCCCTGAGCCTCACCTACAGTATCTCTCCAAGGATACCAGACCTAGTCTCCAGAGTCACTCCAGACTGCCCCCTGGCTCTCAGCTGGGGTTGCCCTTGCCGGGCCTCCTGCCCTGGGCAGGCTGGGACAGGCCCTGAGAGTGTGCTGAATTGGCAGCCTGGACAAAGCACTTTTCTCTCCCTTAATATTCTTCCCTAGCAGCCAAGCACTGTCTCCAGGGAGACCACAGCCCATGGCATGGTCATGGCCAAGGTACCTGAGGTCCTCGCTCCAGGTTCCCCATCCCCCCAGAGGGACCTGGGCCTAGACCTTCAGATCCTGTCTATAACTCATGACCAGTCACGGCTAGGCTGCAGGCTGGCCTGAGATTCCAGAGAGGACATGGAATATTCTTCCTCAAGTGGCTTCTAGTCTGAAAGGGACAAAATCCCAACACGCAACTCCCATCCTATGGCTCCTGTTGTAACTGTGTGTGAGCCACAGTGCTGGGACTCGAAAAAAAAAAAAAAAAAGAAGAGTGAGAGAAGCAACAAGGAAGGTTTCCTGGAGGAGGAGGTGATGGAGCCAGTAATGAAATTCCAGTAGGAGCCCCCAAGGTATGGAAAAGGAAAGAGTACCTGAGGGCACAACATGGGCAAAGGCCCTGAGATGTGGTATGAGGCAGGCTGTGAGGAGAGAATGAAGATTCCATGGCCATAGATAAGCCTGATAGGGCCTTGAAGGCCAGGTCAAGGAGTCTGTACTTCAGTCTAAGGCAGGGCTAAGGACTAGGGGGCCAGGATAGAGATTGGTGTTGGCCTGGCATGCAGACCCTCAGCCATTCCCCGAGGCTTGCAGCCCAGTTTTGACAGTTCTCATCTCAGATTTGCCACTTCCCAGGCTCCTTTGC